CAACAATGACATGTTTTACATTGTGTGGGACAACTCAAGCTTTAAACTCACTATTGAACATGTTTGAAATACTTTGCACATTTGTGTTGCTTGGTAATTAAATACAAAATTAATAATTGTATATGTTTGTGAATCGGCATGCAGGCGGTTTAGAGGCTTTGGATACTTCACTGTAATGCATTTTAAAAGTTTTTTTTGGAAGACTATCATTATTCTGACAGTAAATAAGTCGAAATACTTTATCAGAAACGCGGGGAATGAGGAAATAAAAAAGAGAACTAGAGGGTCGGGATGGTCTTGGTAATATATGTTTGTGATGCAAACGAATACAAACATCAAAGTGCAGGCTGCTCGGCGTGTTTTACATCACGAGGAGAGGGGCCCTGACCCGGAGCCACGGTGTCAACATCTCACACACACATACACACACGAAGCTGCGACACTTCAGAGTTGTTTCAGGCCTGCAGAGGGCTGCTGATCAAACGACTGAACACAGAGAGGCAATTTCATGCTCAGCAACTCCAAACAGCGGCCGAGACACAATATGAATATGGATCCAGGTGTCCCACTCACTTAAACCAACGAGCACAGACACACACACACACACACACACACACACACACACACACACACACACACACACACACACACACACACACACACACACACACACCAAACGCAATTGTATTGAAAAGTTGTAACCATAACCACTGTTTTTTCTGAAACATTTTTTCCAATATAAAAGTTTATTTGGAAACATGGTTTAAATGTACAACGTATACAGCACCCAGCCCCCCCCCTCAACAAGTCACACGTAGTCTGCCGTGCGCAGCTTTCTCATTCCACTGTGAAAATGTGGGGGAAATATGGATTCCCTATAGTGACATGGGCCACAAAGACAGAAGCATTAGGAGAAAATAATAAAAACGCCACAGATAAAGAATCACTACAAACTCACGAGCTTTCACTCGCAGGAATTTAAAATAAATATTAGTGATGAATGTAAACTCTGCCGACTTCCTTTGTGTATGTATTCGTCTCACAGCATTATTATGGGCCGTATAAACTGAGGCTGCAGGACTGAGGAGATTCTATAGGTCAGGATTCCCACTCTCCCACAATCAATTACATTTCTCCTAAATAGGCCTACTTCGATTGCATACATTTTATTTGCACTGTTTACGCTTCAGGTAGCCTATGGTTTGTCGAAATATCGTTGGTCTATTCAATATTTATCCTGCTCTATAAATGTTGTCATTTGAATACTTTTCATCAACAAATAATATAAAAGTTAATTTTAATAAAGGGTCTCATTAAGATTGTCCAGATCTCAATTCTCTTTAAAAACAAAACAGAATGACCCGGATGTGCACCGACACAATGCAGTGCGCTCAATACACAACGGACATAAAGCCAGGGGGGGAAACCCGGAGACATCAGCCCATCAGTGAGGGGGGGGCATGTTGCTTCTTTTGTATTGTTTGCGTGTGTCCACCAGGCTTCGTTGCCAATAAAATCTTTGGTTTTGCGGGGGCAGCTCCAGAGTCCGCGGTGTGTTCAGGTGCATGAGAGGAGCCCCCAATCATTAAATTAGGAATATCTATTTACAGAGTACGGGGGGGGGTCAGTCGCTGTCCTCCTTGTCCTCCTGGATGGTGGTGGTGGAATGGTTGTACAGTCCCTGAGCCATCAGCTGCAGCGCGAGCCCGTTCTTGAAGCCGCTGGCCTTCTTGATTTTGGCCCGTTTGTTCTGGAACCAGATCTTGATCTGGGACTCGTTGAGGCCGAGCTCCTGCGCGAGGGCCTGCCGCCGCTGCTCCGTGATGTACCGGTTCACCTGGAACTCCGTCTTCAGCCGCTGCAGCTGCTCCGCCGTGAAGGCCGTGCGCGGCCGTTTGTCCTCTTTGTCGCTTTTCGACTTTTTCAGTTTCCGTGTCCTTGGGCCTGCAGTAAGGGCGAAAGGAGAGAGAACGGAAACATAAATATTCAGCGCACATGGAGGACAAAGATCATGGGCAACAAATAGTTGGAAAAATGTGAGTCTGGACAGATGTTACATCAGCTGCACACTCGCTGTCTCTGTACCATCACGTATTGGAAAAGTCATCGTTATGGTTGTTTTTATTCAAGTGAATAGCTTATTGTATACATAATAATAATTATTATAATATTGTCCCATCACACGGTCATAATCTATAACGTCTCGGTAAATCGGAAAAGGCATACGAACAATGGATATTAAGAATAACAACAAGAAGATAATAATAATAATAATAAATAACTGCCTTAGGTGGGATTTACTTCAACATAAAATAGGCTACAACATCTCGTAGCAAACACAACAGCTATATGAAGTATAATAATAATAATAATAATAATAATAATAATAACGACATATATGTGTTGTGGTTATTTCCTCAATGCAGGCTACACGAAGCACACAATAATAGCCGCCACACAATTATAAAATGATGTTCCTGCCGGCATATGAACACAAATAGACTGAATGGTTACACATTGCTGCCTATTCGTACAGACTAATTTATCATTTAAAAACATTAATATGGTAAAAAATATTGCAAAGGATAGACACTGAGTATATATATTCATATTCTCCAGACTTAAAATGAATAAAGATGCTATATTACAGAGATTTAGTAAACTGCAGTTGGTTGGCGGCACAGCACTCACACACTGCTGGCATCAGGTCTGAATCAAATATGGAGCTGTTCTTGTTTTGTCTAACACATACATTAATATGTAGACTTGATATGTTGTCTTCTTTTCGAACTAGTTGAAAATACAAAAATAATATCATACCATCATATTATAACACTATGTCCAGAGTGTAATACGGGCTTCATAAATAAAGGTTTTTTAGGAGAAAGCCTTATGAGAGTTTCACACTCTCTGCATGCAGGCCTATGCGTGTGTGTGTGTGTGTGTGTGTGTGTGTGTGTGTGTGTGTGTGTGTGTGTGTGTGTGTGTGTGTGTGTGTGTGTGTGTGTGTGTGTGTGTGTGTGTGTGTGTGTGTGTGTGTGTGTGTGTGTGTGTGTGTGTGTGTGTGTGTGTGGGTGTGTGTGTGTGTGTGTGTGTGTGTGTGACATTTAAAGTGATGTCAGCTAAAGTCAGACCCAAATCCAACAGGCAGTTAATGGATTCAAAATGTCTCCTGCAGACATTATTTACCTTTAATTCCATTGTGTTTGATCCCTGCATGCTTACCTCGCAGCAGCTCAGTGAGCGCACAATAACTATATCCTGTCTAATGATGACTGCACGTGTCACAGCGCACGAGCTGCCACAGTCATAATGTTATCAGATCAAGCCCTGATAAATGTCCCTGCATCTATCTGTCTAAAAGAGTGAAGATATTTAATAAATCAGAACACCGAATAACGTAGGCCTACATTTATCTTTGTGCATATTACAAAACCCAGCTGCGTGTTTTTCTTTTGTTATTTGAGACTTACGAAAAATAAACAATAGGCCTATCTACGAGAAGGTTAGTTATTATTGTTGTTTTTTTACATAAATGTTATCGTTTAAAATACCAGAACAAAGAGAAAGCGGAAAGCGGAAAAAACGTTTACGTTGATTTCATGTTGCGGCCTAAATGTAAAACACCCAGGCTATGTTACTGTTGTTGTTAATCATTAAATGCAATATAACAGTATGGATGTTTTATTGACTGCTTGTTCCAATGAGGGGACATTGAAATAAACATGTGAAATATAAACTATATCTTTTTTTGTTTCCATTGAACCCTGTTGGTCGGGAATGATAGAGCTTTTATTATAGCTAGACCCGGACTTTTAATAGTTAAAAGATTCAGAAATAAACTATTCTAAGAAATCAAAAGGAGGTCCTTCTATCCTGACAACACCAGTGTTACAAAATACATTTTCTATTAAAAACACCTGCCTATGTTTGACACAAAATGTATTTTAGGTTATAAAGATATAGGCTAATAATAAAAACTTGTCAGCTATAACTCAGATTGTGATGTCCATTTCTAAAAACATTATTTCCCGCTTACTTTCTCAAAAAATAACTAATCTTGTTTTGTTTAATGAAAACTGCTACATCTAGCCTAGGATAAATGTAAATGTTTCTGTCAGATAAAAATGAACGGGATTTATGAATTCCTCCATTATTAAACGAAATGCACGCTCGGAGAATTTCCTTCATGAAACTATTGCCTTACCAGATGAGGGCCTGTCCGAGTACCGGGTGCAGTAGACCCAGGCCGGCCACAGCAGTGGCTGGGTCTCTGGTGTGGACCCCCCAGAACCGCTCAGCACCACTACCGAAGAGGACGTGTCCCCCCCGGTCTCACCGCCAGTTCTCTCCTCGGCTTTCAGGCCGCTGCTCCCGGTGGAGGAGGTTGCGGTTCCTCCGCTGATGCCACCGTTACTCTTTTTGGGACTCGCCAAAGAGGTGGAGGAGGCGGATGACGAGGTGCTGTCACTGCTGCAGTTGGAGTCCTGGCACGGCGTCCCGGGTAGGCTCGGCCTGCTGACCGCTGGGTGGACGCGCTCCCGGCCGGAGCTCTGCGCCCTCTCCCGCGGGCCCAGGCCGTGCTCCTTCCTGCAGCCGAAGTCCGGCCGCAAAATGTTGTCGATGAAAAAGTTGGTGGTTCTGTGGGCCTGCTGGGCCCCCTGCAGAGGTAGCATGGGCGGCGAAGGCAGGCTGGGATCCGGGGAGACGCTCTCTCCCTCACTGCTGTCCGAGCTGCTCGGGTCCCGCTGCTCCTCCATCGCTGCTTCTCTGAAGAACGTGGCTGTTCCCTCAATCCACTCCCACTGCACGGGCCTTTGTTTTTATCCACAATATGACAACAGGAATCACTAAAACATAGTTGCCTTCTTTTAGAAATATTGGTTGATGTAATTAGGAGCAAACTGTGGACATCCTGTTTGCGTAAATGCGCTCCGGCGCGTCATTGTCGGCGGCTCACGGTGAGACTGCTATTGCTGCTCGTGCACACTGCTCCACGAACAGAGATATGCACCGCTGTATGACAGTCGGATCTTCACAAAGTTCACACATCACAGCACCATGCACACACGCACACACACTAACCGGAGGGACATGAATAACATCCATGTGCAACGGGCCAATCACCGAGACACTTTGGACAGGCGGTGACGCGGGCCAATGGTGTCAGACGTCTCAGAGCCTCAGAAACCGAGATTATCACTGCTCCACACACACACACACACACACACACACACACACACACACACACACACACACACACACACACACACACACACACACACACACACACACACGCACACACGCACACACACACACACACACACACACACACACACACACACACACTCTTTCTTTTTGAGGTACTGAGGGGTTCTGAGGTTCTGAGGCGCTGCCACCATTGTGTGGCAGGACGGGCTCTCATTGAGCGCGAGGGAGGATAATTGATAGCTTGTCATTTCTCCGGATGGCGGATGATCGGCCGGGCCTCCCTCACCTGGCTGCGGGAGGAGGGCCTGTCACCACCAGCCACAGAACACTTCATCACAGCGCGCAAAGTGGCGATAGGATAATAAGAATAAGAATAATAAATGCTACAAACAGAGAGGAGCTCCTGCTCCCTGACAATGAAGAACAACCTCACTGATGTAATTAATATGAATATTTAGTTTGAAATGTTTTTTATGTGAAGCCGGATGCCTTTTTGGACCATAACTCTGTCCTCTTTCGATAATTTTACCAACGTTTCAGCTAAAATCTATTCCTTTCTGGTGTTTACTGATAACATATATTTTTGTAAATTTAAGATCGAAGGATCTGAGATCCTGATTACTTTTAGTGTCACTATTATATTTATAGCCAGGTCATATACATTATCATTGAAATGACTGCAAAAAGTGTCTGATATTATAGTGACTTATTAATCCTGTAACATTTGAGTTTTTGGTGTTATTTTATTGTGCAAGATAAATATAATTTGTTGACCGGCGACAAGGAAACTCACCTCATTAAAACAAATATTCATTTAAATGTATGTTTGTCATCATTTATCAATATTTTTCACATTGTTAATATGCAGTCCAAAGTGTAAAAACAACAATTATTTCCTTACAATTAAAACAATACACTGATGCGCGAATCCGGAGCGTGAAGAAAATGCATGTTGGGCAATTACAATTGATACGTGTATTGTTACATATTGATTTCAATTGAGCACTGCATAAACCTGCAGCTTTTTTTAAACTAATGACAGCTGTGATAATAATGATAATAATAAGAATAGCTGCTCTCTATAACAGTGACCCAGTGCATGTCTGACTTAGTAAAGACAGTAGTAATCAAGATTAACTAAATTAAAGGTAGAGGCCATCTTTGGACCCAGGTTTTATTAATCTGAATTTTAGGATGCTGCAGTCTGTTCTTTTTGTGTTACTTTGCTCAACGGCTGAAAAGGAAACAATTAAATCTCCAGGAATATGAGAAGGTGGCTTTCAGTGGCATATGAGAACAACATAACATCAGAGCGACCTCTAGTGGTGAAGGATGGGAGGAGCACATGTGAAAGAGAGCAGCTGTGAAATCCAGGTAAGACATCTGACTCCACTTCTCAGGTGTGCAAGAGATCACATGATCCAGTAGGTTTTACTGGCATTAGTTCCCTCCCAACATGATATATCATGCTGACGAAACAGGTGTACCTACAGTGCAGACACCATAGCAGGTAGTGGCAGAGAAATAATTATATATGATGTCCATGGTCCCCTCCCCTTCTCTCTGTACACAAACTCGCTCGGATCAGTCATTAGCCCGCATGGTTTTTCTTACCACTGCTACGCTGACGACACCCAATTAATTCTGTCCTTTCCCCGCTCAGAGACCCAGGTCGTCGCACTTATCTCTGCTTGTCTAGCTGACATCTCTCAGTGGATGTCTGCTCACCACCTCAAGCTCAACCTTGACAAGACTGAGCTGCTTTTCTTCCGGGAAAAGATTGTCCCACTCTTGACCTAACAATCAACATCGGCACCTCAGTTGTTTCCCCGACTCAGACTGCAAGGAATCTGGGTGTGACCCTAGATAACAACCTGTCCTTCACTGCAAACATCGCTGCTACAACCCGTTGCTGCAGATACACGCTTTACAACATCAGGAAGATACGTCCCCAGCTGACTCAGAAAGCGACTCAGGTTCTGGTCCAGGCTCTCGTCATCTCACGCCTAGACTACTGTAACTCCCTCCTGGCTGGTCTACCTGCATGTGCCATCTGACCTCTGCAGCTCATCTAGAATGCAGCGGCTCGTCTGGTCTTCAACCTTCCTAAATTTTCCCACACCACTCCGCTCCTCCGCTCCCTGCACTGGCTTCCGGTAACTGCTAGAATCCACTTCAAGACACTGGTACTTGCGTACCATGCTGCGAATGGATCTGGCCCTTCCTACATCCAGGACATGGTTAAACCGTACACCCCAGCACGTGCACTCCGCTCTGCATCAGCCAAACAGCTCGATGCACCCTCACTGCGAGGTGGACCCAAGTTCCCATCAGCAAAAACACGTGGGTTTGCTATCCTGGCTCCAAGATGGTGGAATGAACTCCCCATTGACATCAGGACAGCAGATAGCTTACACACCTTCCGGCGCAGACTGAAAACTCATCTCTTTCGACTCCACTTCGAGCGATAGAACTATTAACAAAGCACTTATATACTAATAAAGGGCTGGCTTATCTAAAGCCAGTTGAGTAGCACTTGAAATGTTTTAGCTCTATGAAGCCTGATGTACTTATATGATTCTGTTTTCTTCAAGTTTGTATCTTCTTGGTTGAATGTATGTCGCTTTGGATAAAAGCCTCAGCTAAATGCAATGTAAAGTAATGCAATATATTATTTTAAAAAGTCTATTGGTCAATTTATCCCCAGATGGCTTACACACAAACTCTCAGTTCTAAAAATGTGAAAACAATTGTTATCTTATGCATGTTGCTTCTTTGAACTAAGTGGGAATGCATTCAATTAATTGCCTTGAACATCCTTTACAAATCTGGCTTGTATCCTTGCCACTTAAATCAATTATTTGTCAGTCAGAACAGATCGATGCTTTGATTTCACGTGTTTCAGGGTAGAAAAAACAGACTCAGACGTACAGTAGCAGTCAAAAGTTTGGACACACTTTCTCATTCGGAAGTTTTTATTTATTTAAATAATGTTCTACATTGTAAATGAATACTGAAGACATCAAAACTATGAAAGAACACATAACCCTATTTGACTACTGTTGTAACTTGTAATCCATAATATGTCACACAAACCATCGAACGCTATGATGAAACTGGCTCTTATGAGTAGGACTGAATATTGATAGATGTCTTGTAATGCACTATTGAGGAACCTGCTACCCAAGTTTTTCATTCAATGCATAATCAATTCACAAACGGTGTAGACTACACCGTTTGTGAATATGATATGTCAATAAACCTTAGAAAATCTTGAAATCTTGAAAGGGATGTGCAAAATATTCATTATATACAGTCTTTAATGAACTATTAGTAGAGAATAACGAGTAATGAATATACTTTATAGGGATCCTATTAATATCTAATAATAAAAATAATGAAATTCAATAACATGCTTTAACCACTAGGTGTCCCTTTATATCAGCTGTGCACCTTTATGGTGTAAATACAGCCTATCTACCAATTGGATCAAATATAAAAGTCAGCCGAATTAGTGTTGATACTGCAAGGAGACGTATTGTGTGAAAATAAATGTAAGATGTTGTTTAATGGCTGATATATTTATGATCCACGTCACGTTTTCAGTTCCTCATGTTTGTCTAGAAGTCTTCTCATCAGGGCTCTATAAATAAAGAACTACGGCAGATATGTAATATTTAATGCAGCCAAACCGTGTATTACAATAATGTTATGTGATGACTTTCAAAGAGAAAAGCAAGCACACTCGGAATAAAGTATTATTTTATATTTTTTAAATGTTTTCGGTCTGTTTCCGGTATTTGTTAATGACGATGTGCTCTGAGATGTGAGACTGGAATTGCACAGGGGAAAATAACGTAGGCTATATTTAGATGCGGATTTTGTTAAACTAATATGTTTGCGCTGTGGACCAACACTATACATTGACGGAGAAGGGGGTAGCAATAAAGATAACACCATTAAACAGTTACACAACATAACAGAAATAATATCGATAGCAGCGTCCCTAGCAACCACCTTGGTAACAATGAAAACGTTCTATGGACGCAATTTCCTGAAGTAATCTTCGTAATAACTAGCAAACTAAAGATCATGTACATCCACTGCACACATAATCTGAAATAACAACTCATAGTTCTCGCATCAAATGACATCAAAACGCATTTTAATGGCCAAACTAACCTTAAAATAGGCATTTTACACCGAGAATAAAATGAAGGTCGGCCATGTTTTTTTTCTGCAGGGAGAAATTTGAAGATCACGTGACATAGATGCCAGCCATTGGAATTAATGGAATGCAGTTGGAGGTCAACCAATCACAGAGCTTGAGAACTAATCACGGGGCTTGTCAAACAGAGCACATGGTGTAGTCCTAAACGATAGTTGGGGATTCTGGGTAGTGTAGTGTCTTCTGCCATCCTTTAATCCGAAAAAATTGTTGTTGCTCAGAATCTAAGGGGAAAAATACAAAAGCATTGCACACAATTTAAACCAATCAATGTTGTGAAATTAACAAGGATAATCTGGTGTTTTTTAGTCGATGAGTAGTGCAGATATCACTGTAAAATAAATCGACAGTAAGGGGAATACTTACTTCCGGGTGTACAATTCTCCGTTATCCAATGGGAATGGACGCTCACATTGCCTTTAAGGGCAGCCGACACAAACGAATGCCGTGCTTCCATGAGCGTCAAATCCTGCCGCAGATGGGAATACATTTAAATCAGTTGAAAGCTATTTGCGTCCCTTTATGAAGCTGAAGGAGCATAGGAGCGTCACAACTGCACGC